GAGATCACTTCGCGCCGTGGTGGAAACTCTTAATAGCCAATTCTCATTGACCATTCACACATCATATTTAGTTTTATGTCCTGCGGTAGCATGCAGTGTCCGTGTTGTCGGATATAGATTTCCAAAATTTTGCTATCATCCGCAAACATTTTTCATTATCAGCAAATGCTATGATCCGGGCATATCGTTTACTATACCGCAGAACAGTAGTGGTCCTAGGATCGACCAATCCTTGCGGACCCCCGCTTATCTACTGAGCACCAATTTTGTAGATACCGGGTACAGTCTGCCGAGACGGCTCACTCTATCTGGCTGCCCACTAGAGCTTTCAAACGCGCAGTTTATGGAGTGTTCTCGTTATTCATGACGCTTTCAAATTTCTTCAGCCCTCAGTGTGCAGAACCGTGTCAAATGCTTTTTTATAGTCTAAAACAGAATGTGTGATGCAATTACCATTGTCAATGCCTTACTCCAAGCCTCAAACGTCTGCTAGGAGATTAAGTCAAGACAGCTCCTCCTTCGACGATCTGCAGCCCGGATTCGCGCGAAGCGCGCGTTAGCAGCCTGGAGACGCCGGCCCTCGCGGCGACAACAATGACTTCGCATGCGTCTATATTGAGAACAATTTCCCACGGTTGCGTTGTGAATAACGGTATATAATCGCTAATTGAGAGTTGTCGCTTGCAGAAGCCTTTCGAACTATGACGTAGGCGAGAATAAATGCCAAATGGCTCGGTAATTGCTACCTCTGCTGGTTGAGCCGCTTTACGGTTTCGCTCTTAGAAAAGCGATTTTTCAATTTATTGAATTTTCAACGCGCATGAACTTATTCTCGTACATATGCGGTCCCATAGATGGGGCGGCGTACGAGGCTTCTCTTCGCAAGGATTTTCCAGAGAATTTTCCACACAGGAACGGCGATTCGGCTTATCGACTGCTCGCCGGCGTGGAGATTCCACACGGCTGCACTAACGAGAACTTTAGTGTAGCGAAAGATACTTGGCCGGTTCACCGCGTCACCAGTGCTAGCTGGAATCGTGAGCGTGGGATGTAATTATCGTAGCCATCTTGGTTTTCCCTCACGTGTTGATATGCCTAAGGCCCGATTGATGATGTTTGTTTAGACTGAGATTCCCACGAGACGTCTCTGGCCAAAAAAAAACCGCCGCCGTGGGCAGCAGCAGCAGCCGTAGTGTGCTGCCACAGCAGCATCAGTGCAGGCGTCGAAGTCTACGAATCGTTACGAGAATTAACCGGCGCAAAACCTTTCTGGCATTTAACGTGGTGCGCGCAAACTTTTTCAATATCGTAGGGTGAAACTAGAGTAGGCCTAGCATCGGCTATAGTTATAGAAACATTAAGAATTTGTGACTAAGTAATACCATTTCGGACTGTTGGATAGAGTATTTCTTATTGAAATGCGTATGAAATACAGCGACGTTGGTATTTATTAGCATTATCATTCTATTGAAACGCTTCAGAGTGCCTGCTGCTTCAGTCTATGGAAAACTACGCAAGCTCGGAGAGTTGCGCGCCTTCACGTACACGCGCCGGCGAGAGAGCCAGCTTCGCGCGAGCCGAAGACGTCTTGCCTGCCTTTTGCGTTATCACGCGGGAGCAAGCTGAGCCCGAGCGAGCGGCGACGAAGTCCATTGTGCACGAGGGGGGAGCGCTGCATCTACACTACGTACGCAACAGGGTGGAGAAAGCACTAGACGCTACGCGGACAGTACCAGGACGGCCCGTTAGAAAACGGGAAGCAGCTCAACACAACCCGCATCATTGGCAGGAGGGTCGTAGGGAGAAGACCTCGAAGTAAACTTGGGTAGCCAGTCAATCAACGAAGGCAGCGCACTGCTGCGAACTTCACTGCGAACATTTCTTGTACAGGGCTCCAACGATGACACGATGAAACTCCGCCATGTACCGGACAACGCAATGGCCTGCTTCCACGCGACATGTCACGCAAGACGAAAAAAGAAGAGTCGGATACAATTCTTCGGATTCCGATTCGGATTGGAATTTCGGTATTCGAAGGAAAGAAGAGAAGCGGGCAGTAAGAAGATAGCGCAAGTAACGCGGGCTATAGTACACAGCTAGTCTCTATATCGATACTCTAGGCCCGGGATATTGGCAGCGTAACCATGTGCTCCCACAGGCGCTCAGTAAGAATTAATATATATTGCCGTGAAATTGACCCTATTTCCCCCTTTTTGCCGTTGGGTGTGTTATTTAGCTCTTCATACATATACATATATATACATCAATACATGTTATAGAGCAGAATACTTCTTATAGTAACGTTTACAAACGTATGTAGTGAGTCTACGTAAATATAACTTCATGTTGAATTTGAACCGTTTGTTTATCTCTACTACTCTACTAATTCTGCTACGACAAGTAGCTAGGCGGGCCTTACAGCAGTTTGTTAGTATTTAGTACACAGTTACAGTTAGACAGTTATAAGTTTGAGTTCTCCTTGTTGTGTGTGTTTGAGATTTGTAGAATTCTATTGCTTAGTTCGGACTCAATATAAGCCACATACAAGCGTGTTATGCTAGCTGTTACGATGAAGCATCGTATGATATTTATTATCATTATATTATTCTTGTTTGGACTACAATTATTTGTCATTATTTCTCTCATCACATGATTATTTCATGCACTGTTATTTATTTGCTATTATTCCTTATTATTTTATGTTTTGCATTGCTTGTCGTTGGGACATAGCAGCGTAATTAGCGTGACTTCCTTTGCTGTCCTTTCACTGTTAGATGCACCTGCTGAGCATGCTAACTTGCTTGTCACAAGTTATGCCATTGTACGTCGACGGCTTCTGGTGCAATTGCCGTAATCCAGTAATTAACAGGCACAACCTATAGCACAAAGCCCTGGTGGCGTTCAAGTGAGATACGACTGGCATACCTGTACATTGCAACACAGCAGCGGATCAGTTGTGCAACATAGACGCGGCGACACAGAGACAGTTTCTCAGAATATTTGCAATGAAGATTACAAATCTAATTAGGCTGCCAAGAACACCTCCCAATGCACCTGAGCGGCTTCATTCTATTGGCCTAACTTGTCGATCCTTCGCTGGCCAGCTAGGTGGAATCCGTGCCCGCTTGAGTTCGGGCACTGGATCGCACTAGCTGGCAAGCATGCATAGTCGTGCACGACGTTCCCGAGCGTCGCGTGCCGCCTTGCCGGGAACTGCGCGGCAACATCTGCGCTTATAGCGCTTGTGGATTAAAACAACACCTCCTTCGCAACGCTTCTCTAGTATCCCGTCTCATCTGGACGTAAATCAAGGTTGGTGTTCTGTAAACAATTTGTTCTCATCTATGAATTTTACTACTTCATCATGCAATAGCGATTCCATGACCTTACAACACACACATGTTAGTGAAACTGGTCTGTATAGTTCTCAGCAGCCGACCTACTCCCTTTTTTGAAGATGGGTGAAACCTGCGCTTTTTTCCACTTTGTTGGTAGGGTCCCTTCCTGTATAGCTAGGATTTTTGGAATATTAATGTGAGTGGCAATGCAATTAGGTCCCGGCATCAGCACATTCTTTTAGCAGTTTCGGGTGTATTCCATCAGGTCCTGGTGACGTGCCTGGCTTCAGTTCTCTCAGCTTCTTTTCCACTTGTGCACTGCAATTTCAATACTGTCCTAGCCCGACCAGGCCGGCTGTGCGACGGATTGTCTATACGGTATTGTAACCCTAGCAATACCGTTTCTTGGGGAAAAGACTAATCCCCGGCCACTCTGGCAGGGCGAGCCCACAATGTAGGGGTGGTCGGGTAGGGTATGGTTAGGGTTAGGGTTTAAGTTAGGTTTAGGGTTAGGGATAGGGATAGGGATAAGGTTAGGGTTAGGGTCAGGGTTCAACTTAGGCCTACCTTACCCGACCCTACCCTACCCGACCACCCCTACACTGTGGGCTCGGCCTGCCAGAGTGCCCGGGGATTAGTCTTACCCGTTTCTTGGAGCTAATACTGTCTAAGCTTGTAAACTTGTAGCTCTAGTACTATAGCCGCTTACAATAACTGCCGCTTACAATAATAGCCCGCTGCCAGCGGCAGTTAATGTAAGCTAGATACAATAATGTAACCCAAACCCAAGAGGATAGGGCCTATCCTCTTGGGTTTGGGTTACATTATTGTATCTAATGTAAGCGGGCTATATATAGTACTACTACTAGAGCTAGTAAACTTGTACCAGGTTGCACTCTATCTACAAAATTCGGGATGTTACCCACTGGCTCCGTTACAAACACCGACTTGAAATAGTTGTTCAGTAATGATGCTGCTTATTGGTCGTTGTGTGGTCGTTGTATTTCTTGGTTCTGATATTATTGGTTCTGATTAGTTCTGGTTTTGATTTCTTGGTTCTGCGTTATCCGTTTATAACTAAACTAGGTTGAACATTTATCGTTAATACTAATACTAATACTAGTTAATACCTCATCTGGCTGCCCGATATCTTCAGACTGTCCTTCGAGACACGGTAAGCAGCAGCCCATTATTACTCACAAACGAATAACAACAACAATTATTACTATTACTACTAGTCTAGTATTAACACCCGTATTAACATAACATGGGTAAAGTTATCATGTTATGCAAAGCAAACGAAAATTATACATTTCCCTCTCTGCCTCTATCAAATAACTTATCGGCAGTTATCGCTAGGTAGCGCTACAATCAACAACAACACCGAAGCAGAACCATGATGATCTTGTGGAGCAGCTGAGCTGGACCTTTTGCCAGAGTTTGCGAGTTGTTCGGAAGATTGTGTACAGTTTTATATAATTTTCTTTGGGCTTTGGGATTGTCATTGCTCTTGCAGAACTTGCAACTTGCAGAAGCACAGTGGTCTACGTACAGGTTAATTCTTACTTGATTTTTATTAGCTAATCTGACATGGAAAAGACTAATCCCCGGGCACTCTGGCAGGGCGAGCCCACAATGTAGGGGTGGTCGGGTAGGGTATGGTTAGGGTTTAGGTTAGGTTTAGGGTTAGGGATAGGGTTAGGGTCAGGGTTCAACTTAGGCCTACCTTACCCGACCCTACCCTACCCGACCACCCCTACACTGTGGGCTCGCCCTGCCAGAGTGCCCGGGATTAGTCTTACCCATCTGTTATTATTTATATTATTTTATAATATAGCTATCTGATTGGCTGCTAATCTTCGATATAGAAGCGGTAGCTCGATTGGCCAGCGCTCACACACCCACTTTCTTCACGCGAGGTGTACTCGTTTGACATGCGCGGTCAACTCGGTATGAGGTACGGACCTCCAAATGACATATGGGCCAATCAGATTCAAGCAAAATGCGCTACCATTATAATAATATATAGTGTAGCTGTATGCATGCATCAACAATAGGAGTGTTTCATGTGACGTCATAGATCAGGTCACGTGTATTTGTTATGTGTCATGGTTGGCAGAAGCGAAGCGTGCTGCTTGACATTTACAGATGATTGACCACATGTTCTGATGGAAAGCGCTGTTTATGTAGTGCACGTACACGTGCGTACTGCGTGCGTGCGTGCGTGCGTACTGCGTGCGTGCGTGCGTGCGTGCATGCGTGCGTGTGTGCGTGCGTGCGTGCGTGGGCACGTACACGTACGTGCGTGTGCACGTACACGTGCGTGCGTGCGTGCGTGTTTGCGTTTGTGTGCACGTACACGTGCGGGCGTGCGTGCGTGTGCACGTACACGTGCGTGCGTGCGCGCGTGACACGTACAAGTACCTGTGCACGTACACGTGTGCGCACGTAAACGTGCGTGCGTGCGTGCGTGTGTGCGTTTGTGTGCACGTACACGTGCGGGCGTGCGTGCGTGTGCACGTACACGTGCGTGCGTGCGCGCGTGACACGTACAAGTACCTGTGCACGTACACGTGTGCGCACGTAAACGTGCGTGCGTGCGTGCGTGCATGCGTGCGTGTGTGCGTGCGTGCGTGCGTGGGCACGTACACGTGCGTGCGTGTGCACGTAAACGTGCGTGCGTGCATGAGTGT